CTTTTGCATGTTCACCTCCTTCGACTTTTTGCACCGAGCATCAACGTCCAGCTGCTGGGAACGGGGGAATTTGCAGGGTTGGCGCTGGATGCGGCGGGGGAATCAGCCAGGAAGGTGCACCGGCCGCCCCCGAAGGCTCCCCCCCTTCCTCGCCCCGTCGGCTTGGATTCTTGCAGAGGGTTAAAGGGAGCGTCGAGTCTGAGCGTCTAGAGAGGAGGGAGGCGGCGTTGGCCTCGCGTCACTTCCGGCCAGAGTCTCTTCTTTCCCCCCCCATGGAGGAGGGGGTCTGGGCGCCTGCAACAGCCCCAGACGGTAGGATCGGATGAGCTGGAAATGCAATGGATTTATGCATAAGCTAAATAAGCTACAGTTTAGGGCCTCGCAATCTGCTGGAGCCTTCTTTGTCATTTTGAAACCCATTATGTAATCATTTAATTATGTAATTATTTCTGTGATTTTGTAAAGACATCCTTTATTATTATTTTTAATAAAAATTAAAAGACAATATATTTTCAAATATTAAAAAGGCGTATCTATTTTAAATTTTTCTGAGCCCAGCTGATGTAATTTAAAACAGTAGGGGGCCTCTGGGTTTTGTATAGCTTAGGGCCCGCTAGGGCAGCGGTGGAGGGAGGGGAGGGAATGCCCGGTTGGAAAAGGAGATCCCAAGACGGGGGCGGCGGGTGAGCAGCAGGCTTGGCCGCCGACTTTGCTTTGAGTCGAGTGTGGTTGGATTCTGGATGGTGCCTGGGTGCCAGCGTTCCCTCTAAGCTGAGTTAGTGTGAGCTAGCTCACAGTGTTTTAGCCTCCAGCTCACCTATTTTTGTCTTAGCTCAGGAAGGGAAGGCGCCAGAGCAAACTCATTTATTCAGTGGCCAAAAACATTTGTCTTGTAAAGCATGTAAGTAGAGATGGGTTTGGGGCTAACTTTGTTTTCCATTTATCCCATACACTTAAAGTATTCATTAAAAATATATTTTTAATTATGTCCGGTGATCTTTTTTGTCTTTTCTTCCACATTGTTTCTGAAAAAGTATTGTGTTCTAGGTATTCCTGTTCTATTATTTTCCAATCAGCTTTATAGTTTTTGTTATATTGTTTCAAAAGACCAACCAATGTGGTACTTTCATAATATAATGTTAAGTCAGGAAGTGAAAGGCCCCCTTGGGATGGAAGTCTTCTCAAGATCGGGAATCCTACTCTATGTACAAATTTATTCCAAATATATTTTAAAAATTTGTTTTGCCAATGTTTAATTTTCTCTAGTTGTAACTGTATTGGGATTGCTCGGTATAAATAAATAAATTTGGGAAAAATAAATGTTTTTAAAACTTGAATTTTTTCTGTCCAAGTGAGGAGAGGTGCTGATGGCATTGTGTAAAGTTTGTCTAAAGATTCTGTATTAAACAGTGTTCTAGGACTGGATTGTGCTTGAGCCTCTTTTTTTCTGCTTTCTAAGACCACGTTCCATATTAAAAAGTACTCCACAGCTTAGAGGGAACATCGCAGTTGGGTCTCTTTTTCTGCTTTCTAAGACAACGTTCCGTATTTAAACAGTGTTCTGGGACTGGATTGGGCTTGAGCCTCTTTTTTCCTGCTTTGGTATTAAAAAAGTTAAAGGTTTCCCTTTCTCCAAAGCCAGCCGAATCCAACTCTAGGGGCGGTGCTTATCTCCGTTTCCAAGCCGAAGAGCCAGAGCTGTCCGAAAATGTTTCTGTGGTCATGTGGCCGGCGTGACTGAACGCCGAGGCGCAGGGGACACTGTTACCTTCCCACCACCGCGGTAGCTGTTTATTTACTTGCAATGTCTCACTTTTGAACTGCTAGACTGGCAGGGGTTTGGGACTAAAGACGGGAAGCTTACTCCTTCAGAGGGCACTAGGGTCTCCAACTGTCTAACTACCAACCTCCGGTCTGCAATTCATTGTCTTAACCTCTGAGCCACCATGGTCCCATGTGAATAGGAATGTGTGATGCTGCATTGTGATATGCAATACAGGTGAAGGCAATGTGAATCCTTTTTCCTGAGATGGCTAAACAGCACTGGATACCCTGGGACCGCAGCCCCATGCAGAATTGCTCCAGAGTAGCCCCACTGAAAGTGGCTGAAGGCAGCCTGGCTGAACCTCCTCATGGAGAGGACTGAACACATTTTTCATTTTAATAGATTTATAACTTGCCTTTTCTTCCCCCAGTTGCTAACAAAGCAGCAATTGCTTTCATGGACTAGGGTCCATTAATTTAGATATATGGATAGATTCTCACTTTGCATTAATTTTATATAGGGGGTAGCTGGTTTGAAAAAGACAACCACATAGTTGTTCAAGAAGAAATGTAGGAAGTATAGAGTGAAATATAATAACGTTCAAATAATATAAAATTCAAGTCTAATTAGGAAAAATACAGGTCGCTAGATATGCTAAGCCAGTCACAGGTTTTATTAGTTCCAGGTTAGCAGCCATGTAAGTCTTCAGCAGAAAAATAAAACAGAAATCCAGTGACACCTGGGAACTTAACAGAATTTATTCCCGCATAAGCATTCATGAGCCAGAGCTCATTTTATCAGATGGCTCAACCCAGGGAACAGATTTCTGTAACAGAATCGAAGTGCAGAACAGCACAGTTATATAGTTCTGTGACAACTAGACCAAACTAGATGAAACTACTCAAAAACCTCATCTCAAATTCTAGAAAAACAACAGGTTAGGACCGGTACAGTCAGGCAAATGTAACAACAACAGTCAACTATACAGCACTAGGCCTCCTCCCAAATAGTGATGCGGTGTCACCAGTCACAAGTCCGTTCTTCACTTCCCATATCTTGTTTGATGAGTCTGTTTAGACAGTTTGACAGTCTTTCCATGAGGATTCAATCAAGTCTTGTTCCATTTCACAATGGACTCTGAACAAGCAAGAACTCTCCATGTTTGAATAAAGCTGAGAGAATAAGGCTGGCGCACAGTATAGTAGTCACAAGGGTCCCTGTGCATACTAAGGTGATGTGATGTTTGAGCCCAACTGGTATTTGCAATTCCAGTTTCTGGTTTACCTAAAAGGAAAATTAAAAGACAAATTAGTTGCTGCAGGTTTTCCGGGTTGTGTGGCCATGGTCTTGGCATTGTAGAACCTGACGTTTCGCCAGTAGCTGGTGACTGGCATCTTCAGAGGTACAACACAGAAAGATGGAGTACTCTCTGTGTCAAGGTGAGAAGAAAATGGTAGGCAGCAATGTTCCCTCTAAGCTATGGAGCTCTGTGAGCAAAAATTCTACTCTGTGAGCTACTGGCATTAACGTTGTGAGCAGATTTGGCTGCTGCATACATTAGTTTGCTCTGGAGCCATCCTTCCTAAGCTAAGACAAAAATGTGTGAGCCAGAGGCTAAAAACCTGTGAGCTAGCTCACACTAACTCAGCTTAGAGGGAACACTGGTAGGCAGGTAATTTATATCTACTCCAGAAGGTGAGGTAGGGCTGAGTCATTATCTTGTAGGAGTTCCCCTGGCTATGAACATGCTAATTAGAGGAGCTTTCCTGAGGAGGTTCTTTTGTATATGGATTGTTTCCTGAGGAGGTTTCCTATGGAGGTTCTTTTGTATGTGGATTGGCTGTTGAAATTCCAATCTTATCTGTAGCGCTATTGTCAACAACATAAATTCGTTAACATAAAAGACAAATTATTTATATTTCATATAACCCACGTTTGAACAAGATGGATAGCCGTGTTAGTCTGTCTGTAAAAGTTAGAAAAGAGTCCAGTAGCACCTTAAAGACTAATACAATTTGTGATAGGGTATGTATGAGCTTTGGTGAGTCACTGCTCACTTCTTCAGATACAGCTAGAATGTGAGTCCTTCTGTCCTATGTATTGGAAAGTGGGAGTGATTTCAGATGCCAAATGACATTACCAGGCAAAAGACAATAGCAGGTGTGATTAGATTAGGTGTGATATGCACAGAGGTAGTAGGCATGGAGAAATCAACATTGCTACTTCACTGCACATCACACCTGCTATTGCCATTTGCCTGCTAATATCACTTGGCATCTGAAATCACTCCACTTTCCAATATATAGCACAGATGGACTCACATTCTAGCTGTATCTGAATTTGATCAGGGGTGACTCACAAAAACTCATACCCTGCCACAAATTTTAGTCTGTAAGTTGCTGCTGGACTCTTACCATTTAAACACTATTTTTCAAATGACTTTTAGCTTCTGTAGTCTATCTGTGTAATGATTCCATGTTTTGGTGTGTGGGGGTGTGTGTGTCTTTAAATGTTGAGTTTGACTGCAGTACTGTAAGAAGAATGATAGAGGGAGACAAGTATGACTTGACTGGCTGATGACTGAGTGTGGGAGATGTTCTGAGAGGAATCTGTGTGTGTGTTTTATGACGGAGTTCTGTGTATGTTTTTGGAAAGTGAAGTGAAGAAGATGAAGAGAGTCTGTGTGACTCTAAAAGTTTTGCGAGAGAGTCTATGTGGCAAAGAAACAAGTTGTGTCCAGTGTTCCCTCTAAGCTGAGTTAGTGTGAGCTAGCTCACAGTTTCTTAGCCTCCAGCTCACACATTTTTGTCTTAGCTCAGGGAGGAGGGCTCCAGGACAAACTAATTTATGCAGTAGCCAAATCACCTGCTCACAACTTTAATGCCAGTAGCTCACAAGGTAGAATTTTTGCTCACAGGACTCCACAGCTTAGAGGGAACATTGGACTCGTGTCTAAACTGTGTGGTTAGACGGATGTTTTATCTTGTGTGCCTAAGACAAAGAGCTTAGCCAGCGTGGCTACATATATGAGAGAGAGAAGCCTGTCAGCGTGGAATTTTGGTGTCTGAGAGACTGTGTGTTACACCTTGCTAGTTATATTTACAAGTTCCTTTTCCCAGAAACAGTTCAAGATAACCAGAAACCTTTTTCGTTCGTTATTCAATAAATCAATTTTTGTTAAAAATTCAAGTCTAATTAGGAAAAATACAATTCACTAGATATGTTAAGCCAGATAAATACATGTAATAGGCAGGGAGTCACAGGTTTTATTAGTTCCAGGTTAGCAGCCATGTAAGTCTTTAGCAGAAAAATAAACACCTGGGAACTTAACAGAATTTATTCCAGCCTAAGCATTCATGAGCCAGAGCTCATTTTATCAGATGGCTCAACCCAGGGAACAGATTTCTGTAACAGAATCGAAGTGCAGAACAGCACAGTTATATAGTTCTGTGATAACTAGACCAAACTAGATGAAACTACTGAAAAACCTCATATCAAATTCTAGAAAAACAACGGGTTAGAACCCGTGCAGTCAGGCAAATGTAACTAACAACAGTCAACTATACAGCACTAGGCCTCCTCCCAAATAGTGATGCGGTGCCAGTCACAAGTCTGTTCTTCACTTCCCATATCTTGTTCGATCAGTCTGTGTAGACAGTTTGACAGTCTTTCCATGAGGATTCAATAAAGTCTTGCTCCATTTCACAATGGATTCTGAACAAGCAAGAACTCTCCATGCTTGAATAAAGCTGAAAGAATAAGACTGGCGCACAATATAGTAGTCACAAGGGTCCCTGTGCAGACTAAGGTGATGTGATGTTTGAGGCCAACTGGTATTTGCAATTCCAGTTTCTGGTTTACCTAAAAGGAAAAGGAAAAGACAGATTAGTTGCTGTAGATTTTCCGGGTTGTGTGGCCGTGGTCTTGGCATTGTAGAACCTGACGTTTCGCCAGTAGCTGTGACTGGCATCTTCAGAGGTATAACACAGAAAGATGGAGTGCTCTCTGTGTCAAGGTGAGAAGAAAATGGTAGGCAGGTAATTTCTATCTACTCCAGAAGGTGAGGTAGGGCTGAGTCATTATCTTGTAGGAGTTCCCCAGGCTATGAACATGCTAATAGAGGAGCTTTCCTGAGGAGGTTCTTTTGTATGTGGATTGGCTTTTGAAATTCTAATCTTATCTGTAGCGCTACTATAATGTCAACAGCATAAATTCATTAACATAAAATTTATTTATTTATTTATTGCATTTTTACCCCACCCTCCCCGCAAACGGGCTCAGGGCGGCTTACACGGGGGCACAAGCCCATACATAAAAACAGTATAAAACATTAAAAGCTATGAAGTCACAAGTGCTCCATACAACAACATGGTCTCTGAAGATGGTATCGATCATTTCATTAGGGTGAAATTGTCCTGTCGATGGTCCAAGCCTGTCCAGCAGCATCAATGCCATGCAGAATTATGGCAGTTCTTCCGGGGGGGGGGCACTAGGGTCTTTATATAAAGACAAATTCTTTATATTTCATATAACCCACGTTTGAACAAGATGGGTAGCCATGTTAGTCTGTCTGTAAAAGTTGGAAAAGAGTCCAGGAGCACCTTAACATGGCTACTTCTCGGCACATCACACCTGCTATTGCCATTTGCCTGCTAATATCATTTGGCATCTGAAATCACTCCACTTTCCAATATATAGCACAGATGGGACTCACATTCTAGCTGTATCTGAATTTCATCAGGAGTGACTCACAAAAACTCATACCCTGCCACAAATTTTTAGTCTGTACGTTGCTTGCTGGACTCTTACCATTTGAACACGATCTATTTTTCAAATGACTTTTAGCTTCTGTAGTCTATTCTGTGTAATGATTCCATGTTTTGGTGTGTGTGTCTTTAAATGTTGAGTTTGACTGCAGTACTGTAAGAAGAATGATAGAGGGAGACAAGTGTGATTTGATTGGCTGATGACTGAGTGTGGGAGATGTTCTGAAAGGAATCTGTGTGTGTGTTTTATGACGGAGTTCTGTGTATGTTTTTGGAAAGTGAAGTGTAGACGATGAAGAGAGCCTGTGTGACTCTAAAAGTTTTGTGAGAGAGTCTATGTGGCAAAGAAACAAGTCGTGTCTAAACTGTGTGGTTAGACGAATGTTTTATCTTGTGTGCCCAAGACAAAGACCTTAGCCAGTGTGGCTACATAAATGAGAGAGAGAAGCCTGTCAGCGTGGAATTTTGGTGTCTGAGAGACTGTGTGTGACACCTTGCCAGTTACAAGTTCCTTTTTCCAGAAACAGTTCAAGACAACCAGAAATCTATTTTGTTCTTTATAAATTTTTGTGTAACCATATCCCAGAAATCATTAAACTCCTTCCTCAGGGCCACATAGTCTTCTGAAGTGCCCAGACCCTGGGTCACACTACCAAAAGAGAGAGAATTGGAATTTTTAATTCCTGGTGGCAGCAGAAAACGACCAAGTTTATATACACAGAGGATGGTTTAAAGGAAAAATGGGCTCCCCCTAATAATCCGTTTCAGCACTTTCTATTTTAAAAGGTTCCCTACGTCAACCTCCTTTAATATTTAATTCTTACAGCACTAAAACAATAACATGGAAGACAAACTTCTCCCATGAACCAGCCTACCCATATGGAAACTTGGACTACAATCTTGTGCTCAAGTAGTCCACAAAAGTCAGCATGAAGCAGTCTAACGTGCACAAGAACGTATCCTTGGGCTTGAATCCTATACTTCTGCCCCCCGGCACATTTATCTCTGGGTTTTGCAGAGGCAGTCCTCCATTGTGGCATTTACTACCTCTGTGCTCACACTCTGTGCTCACAAAAACACTGGAAACTGCTCACAGAAGTGCTTGATACCAAAGAAAGCAAACACCGCAGAGGACTGCCTCCACAGTCGCAGAGAGAATTGCATACAGAGCAAAGATATACAATCCCAAACCCAAATTACTTTTTGCTGGGTTGGATCCAAACCAGATGTTCCAGTGACAGAAGGGAACTTTCCTGCCTCCCCCATACAATCACAGCCCACTAACCTACAAAAAATGCTGCTCCTGAGGGATAAGTGACATGAGGGGTAAGTGCAGGAGGAAGTGGTGGAAATTGCCAATTTAGTCCGGATCAGTGTGAGCCAGCTCACAGTTTTTTAGCCTCCAACTCACACCTTTTTGTCTTAGCTCAGAGGGAAGGGTGGCTCCAGAGCAAACTAATTTATGCAGGAGCCGAATCGCTCCCTCACAACTTTAATGCCAGGAGCTCACAAGGTAGAATTTTTGCTCACAAGGCTCCACGGCTTAGAGGGAGCATTGGTCTGGATCCAATCTACTGTCAATAGACTGAAATAAGTTAATTTCAGGATTGCCAGGGACATTTAATATATCGATATATTTTAGGAATAATCAACGCACTAGTTGGAACTTCACGCTGTCCCAATGGCAGTTCTGCTTATTCTTCCGAGAACATGGCTCTTCTATTTTGGTTCCTTCCAAACATTCCGTTGATAGCAAGCCTGGGCGAAAGAAAGTAAAAAAACACACACACAAAAATCAAACCTAATACTGCGGAAATCGTTTAACTTTAAATTTTAAGTACTCCTCTCCTCAGTTCAGAATGTCTGCTTAGGTCTCTCCCTCATTGTTCTACTGGAATATAAGACCACGCCCCCAAGATTGATGATTTCATGGTGCCTTTTTCATTCCTGTTCCCCTTGTTACCCCTTTCTCATTCCCAAAAGAAGGAGGTCAGTGTTTCTTACGTTTCTGGCAATGGACCAATATTTCTGGACTCTTCGTTATGGCAGAGATTTCCCCATCAATCTCTGCTGGTTGGTGGTACCGGCAGTGCAGAGGTAATGTTGCTCTAAAACAGTAATCGCATTCAGGATCAGGTTTCATGTAAACGAGAACATCAGTTTCAGTGGCTAAATACTCAGGAACTTCCAAGTCTACATAATCACCAATCACCAAAGCCTGCACACAAAAAAAGCATAATTAAAAGCATAATCATGTTGTAGAGATTAGTATCAACTTTTACCCGACTCACTGAAAAGACCCTAGGCTGATTCCAGTGTCTTATTGTGGTAAAAAGGTAAAGGTAAAGGTTCCCTTGCTCGAAAGCCAGTCGAATCTGGCTCTAGGGTTGCGGTGCTCATCTCTGTTTCAAAGCCAAAGAGCCAGCGCTGTCCGAAGACGTTTGTATGGTCTTGTAGCCGGCATGACTAAACACGAAGGCGCACGGAATGCTGTTACCTTCCCACTGAAGTGGTACCTATTTATCTACTTGCAATTTCTTGCTTTCAAACTGCTAGGTTGGCAGGAGCTGGAACTAGAGAGGGGAGCTCACTCCATCATGCGGCACATTCAGGTCTCGAACTGCTGAACTACCGACCTTCCACAGCCTGCAGTTCAGCGTCTTAACCACTTGAGCCACCGCAGCTCCCTTATTCTGGTACTTGTGTCTTAACGATGTAAGTAAAGATTCAGCTGAAAACTGACAAAGGAGTCAAAGGTCAAATATTTGATATGCAGATCTTTCAGAATGCCCAAAGCAGTCAGTTATCTCATCTCTCTGGTAAGAGAAAAGCTCATATCTTCAATGGGTTTTTTAACCACTTTTTATTTGTATCTTTAACAATGCAACCCTAAATCCAGGTGGGGAGCCCTCTTGGTCTGAAGCAGCAGAACAAAGTTTGAGTCCAGTGGCACCTTTAAGACCAAGTTTCATTCAAGCTATACATTTATGTGTGCAAGCACACTTCTTCAGGTAAAGTGAAACAGAATTTTCTCAATCATAACGGTTGAGGAAATTCCGTTTTACTGTATCTGAAGAAGTGTGCTTGCACACATAAACGTACAGCTTGAATAAAACTTGGTCTTAAAGGTGCCACTGGACTCAAACTTTGTTCTAATGTAATCCTAGGAAGACTTTCCTGGGAGCAAGCCTATTGAGTAGACCTGTTTAGGCTTGCACTGTAAAACTATGAACACAAAAGCACAACCCTAGAGCCGCCATTCTCAAAAACATTATGAGAACCCTCCCTTGTGACTTCATACCACTGTTTTTCTAGGCTTCCCAAGTCCCCCCGGGGCCCGTTTCCCCCCGCCGCCGGATCGGGCCCCAGGGGGAACTCCTCCCCGACGTGCGCGTCACCTGGAAGTGACGCAACCACGCCGGGCACGCTGGGGGCAGGGCCACGGCTATATGAGGGAAAACCATAGCATGCCTGGCATAGTCACGTCACTTCCGCACCAGACGCCAGCTGGAAGCCCTCCGCTCCCGGCGAAGATCGACTTGGCAACCCCTGTGTTGTTCAGTGGTCTTCACCTGAGTGAAGCCCAATTACTTCACATTTAAAAATTTTTTAAAAACCTTCAAGAAATATTTTTTCTTCTTCACAAAACTGTTTTAATGAATAAAAAACCCCTGGTAAACACTTGAGGATTTCCTCTAAACTGGGAGCACTGTCCTCTAAATTTGAAGAAGGTTTACGATATTTTCATGAAAACTGGTACTGGAGATTTACAGTTCCATAAAACAATATAGATACGCAAGATGGTAAATATTTCAAATATTAAGGTTACTTCAGCCTCAAAAACCTAAAAATGTAAAAGAAATGCTCTTCAAGGAGAGAAAAAGATCAACTACATTAACTTCCACTTGATTACATTCAGTTTAGGATACTTACAGATTGGGGGGTATGGTACATAATCAGGGCTATTTTGGGGCAGGAATGAACAGGAACGGAGTTCCGGCAGGCTCCCAAGGTGGCCACGCCCAACAGGAATGCATTAGCATAATAGGCCACACCCAACAGCAGAAACTCATTAGGATTGGCTACATTAGGGGTGTGTGGCCTAACATGCAAAGGAGTTCCTGCTACAAAAAAGCCCTGGGTTTGGACAACAAACAAGGTAAACAGAATAAGAAGCAAAAGGTGGGTGTGGCTGGATGAGCACACCTCTGGTAACATGGGGGTGTGGCCTAACATGCCAATGAGCTGCGCTGTCAGGGGTGTGGCCTAATACGCTAATGAGTTTCTGCTGTTGGATGTGGCCTATTATGCTAATAAGTTCCTGCTGGGCTTTTTCTACAAAAAAAGCCCTGTACATAATCTATCTCCTTCCAACAAGAGCTGAATGCTAGTATGTCACTGGGACTGTGTGTATATTCACTGGAAGCCATTCTGTCTTTCCCCCAAACTACTTTCCCTTGGCTGAACATCAGCCCGAAGTCATACCTCAGTAATATTGTGTCTGTTTAAAGATGTCAGTTCATAGGGGTCCACATATAATCCTTTGGGAAGGTGAATTTTAATTGCCACAATGCAGCTTCCTGTGCCTTCATCACCTGTACTGAGTTTTATTCTACTCAGGAGATCTCTAACATTAAGAAAAAGACAATTGAAAAGCTCTTTCAATGCATGTTAAATCCATGCCAAAGATTTCAAGCAAACACTCTAAAAAAAAACATTTTCACTTCTGCATGTACACCTGAAACTGTATTTTATACTGCTTCTGCTCTTTGTGTTCTCGGGCTGCACTCCTTCCCACTGAACTCATTTCTGAAGATGGAGGAGGAGTAGATTGGATTTGTACCCCGCCCTTCACTACCCAAAGGTGTCTCAGAGCAGCTTACAAACTCCTTTCCCTTCCCCTCCCCACAACAGACACCCTGTGAGGTAGGTGGGGCTGAGAGAGCTCTGACAGAAACTGCTCTTTTTTCAGGAACAGCTCTTATCAGAACTATGGCTTACCCAAGGTCATCCAGCCAGGTGCGAGTGGAGGAGTGGGGGAATCAAACCCGGCTCTCCCAGATTAGAGTCCACGCACTTAACCACGACACCAAACCAAGATGCACTTATAAAATCAGATTTTGGCTGCGATCATACGCACAATTAGACCCGATATAGGCGCGAATGCCGGGTGGATTTAAAGGGCGCAATCGGACAACAACGTCTGGGAAGCGCCCCGCACCCGTCAGCAACCCATTCTGCTCCCCTGCAGAAGTGAAGTTAAAAGACACCGGGGGAAATCCGGTAGTAAAAAGGTTGTGACGGGCCATGGTCGGTCTTTCCCGTGTCTGATCACTCCAGCGTGCTCTCATGGCATTGGGATGGCTCTGTGCCGTTGTCCCCCCCCCCCCCAGTAGGCACATCATTGCACACTCCATAGGGAGCCCTCGGTGCAGAGGTGCAATTCATCGATCCCTCGTTTAAGCGCATGGGAAACAAACGGCACCCAAAAAAACACACTGATGGACTGCGGCCGCACCTTCAAAGGGAGGTGTGATTGTGCAACTGCGGGTCAAATAGCCTCACCCCCCCATTTTTTCTGTTTTTGCCCATTGTATTCTAGTCCGAGGGCTAAATTTTTAGCAGGTATTTTATCTAGTCTTAGTGTGAGTCCCTTGGACTGCAAGGAGATCAAATCAGTCAATTCTAAAAGAAACCAACCCAACCGTTCCCTGGAAGGCCAGATAATGAAACTGAAGCTCAAATACTTTGGCTACCCAATGAGAAGGGAGCACTCACTGGAGAAGACCCTGATGCTGGGAAAGATTGAAGGTCAAAGAAGATGGGGACGGCAAAGGATGAGATGGTTAGACAGTGTCACAGATGCAACGAACATGAAATTGAGCCAACTTCAGAGGATGGCGGAAGACAGGAGGGCCTGGCGTGAACTGGTCCATGGGGTCGCGAAGAGTCGGACTCGACTGTGCGACTAAACAACAAAAGTGCTTACCCAGTTGCGGGAAAAATATCAGTTTTGTTATCTGACACTGATGCCTATGTCTCTTATAAAGTTTCACTGTTTGTCCTTGCTACAAAGAATATACGTTCCAAGGTGGCATCCGGAAGGGGCATTATTTACGCTACTGTATTAAATTAGCCATATTTTGTTAATGATCTTTCGTATTTTTGTATATTCTGGCTCTGACCTATGGTTAGTTCACAATTTGTGTTTTTTAACACAATTTTTTAACAGCCAATGGCAAATTACAATAAACTGAACTGAGGCCCCGGTCACACAGGTCGGATATCGCGGGAGGGAGGCGTGGCTAATTGCCCCGGTGCAGTTTGATGCGCGATTACGCAATAAGACGCGCTGGTGGCACACCACGGGTCCTTCCCTCGGCGCCAGCGGGTAAATGAGGGACCGGAGGGGAATGCCGCGGGCCAGCGCGATCACACCACGGGCGTCTGGAGGCAGCCCGTGGCAAACGTTTACTAGTACCTTGAAGGTACTAGTTTTTTAAGGCGCATTGTCGGCGGTAAGCCACGGGTGCGCTCCACTTCCCAGGTGTCGGGGTGTGATCGCGCCCGGATAATCCGCCCACCATCCGTGCCTCTCCCGCGGCAACTTTGCCGTGTGACCGGGGCCTGAACCATTTTTTCTGGCCCGTGTGACCACAGCCTTAATGTTCTATTTTCATCCCTGTTCACACTCACACTATAAAGCATTGCTGTCCAATGTTCCCTCTAAGCTGTGGAGTCTTGTGAGCAAAAATTCTACTCTGTGAGCTACTGTCATGAAATTTGTGAGCGAGAGATTTGGCTACTGCATAGATTAGTCATCCTTCCTGAGCGAAGAGAAAAATCTGTGAGGTGGAGGCTGAAAAACTATGAGCTAGCTCACACTAACTCAGCTTAGAGGGAACACTGTTGCTGTCCTCTCTATACTAGTGGAGTGCTGTAGCTCAGAAGTGCTCACTATCCAGTTCAGCATGTACAATGACTGTACAGTGTGCAACTTCAACAGAACTAGGTTTTATGCAATTTATAAATCCATATGGCCAAGCACAGCCTGGAACTTATATTGACAGTTACACACTTGTCACAAGTCCATTTTATTTAGCATAAATCACCAGCTCACTTGTTCATTTGACCATAAGCATACTGACTGGTTAGATGGGTGAAAAAAATGGAAGGATTTCAGTCTTTATAGCTGTTAGAACAGAAGCCCTGTTTAATACCTGGTTGTCAGGAACTCACCTGTGAAAGCCATCTTTCAAGAGCCATTGTGTGACCTCTGGACAAGAATTCTGTGCAGCTATAAGATGAAACAAAAATGCAAGAAGAATCTTCTATCATCACCAGTACTGACATATTTCACACATATAAAAGTTTGAATGTTCTTCTAAAAATGTGACTACAGTGTCCTTCATGAAAGAGATTACAAAACAAACTGCAATCATTATCAATCAAATTGCCTCCTGAAGTGATGGCAGACCACAGACCTTTAAATCCAGCCTTGAAATTTATCACTTGCTGCTTGCTAGGCTAATCATAGAATCATAGATTTGGAAGGGACCTACAGGGTCATCTAGCCCAACCCTCTGCACAATGCAGGAAATTCACAAATTCCTCCCCCTCCACACCCGCAGTGACCGCTGTTCCACGCCCAGAAGATGACAAAAAATCCTCCAGGATTGCTTCCTGACCCCAAAGTGACAATCAGCATTTCCCTGGGCGTGTAAAAACGGCCACAAGAACTAAGCACTGAGGCAACCCTTCCTGCCTTCCCTTCTCGTGATCTGCCTAAATTCACAGAATCAGCACGGCTGTCAGATGGCCATCTAGCCTCTGTTTAAAAACCTCCGAAGGAGGAGAGCCCACCACCTCGTGAGGAAGCCTGTTCCAACCGCTCTGTCAGGAAGTTCTTCCTCATGTTTAGCCGAAAACTCTTCTGATTTAATTTCAACCCATTGATTCTGGTCTGACCTTCTGGGGCAACAGAAACAGAAAACAACTCCGTACCGTCCGCTATAGGGCAGCCCTTCAAGAGGCACCGGCTCAAACCTGCCCACCACCATTTATGTATTTATTTCCAGCAGCGGTAAAGTAACACAAGGGGTACAGCAATGGATAATCACAAAGACAAACAAAATTGCTGCAGATGTGCATACAATTAGAAAATAGTTGGCAATAATATAGAACAACAATAGAATTCTAAGATGTTTTAATTCTTGTTTTCAGCAAAGAGCGCCATCGAGATGACGTCGAGATGAGCAGAAACGCAGATTACGAACTTCTCGAGTTCTAGCATTCGTTTCGATACAGTTCTTTATCAGACAAATCTCAGAATCTCAGTTCTTTAATGCTCTTCATACGAACACTTCACAAGAAGGAATTCCTAAATCCAGAAACTTTTCCAAACAGCTTCGGACTAACAATTTTCAACTTCCATCTTCAACTCTTTGCTGAAAACAAGAATTAAAACATCTTAGAATTCTATTGTGGTTCTATATTATTGCAATTTATTTCCAGCAGCCACAACAGTTCTGTCACGTTTTTCTCCACCGGGGGCCCATATATCTGAAGGTCCGTCTCCTCTCATAGGTTCCTGTGCCTCAGCTACAATCTTCAGGCAGTCACATGCTGGCTGTTCCCCAAATTAGGGGGGCCCACCTAGCCTCAATCAAAGCCTGGCCTTTTCTAGCATGGCCCTTCTCTGTGGAATGGTCTCCTTGAAGATATGAAAGGAACCCCAGTCCCCTCAATGGAAAGCTTCACAAAACACTACAGGGCTTGTTTGTTTGCTAGGGTTTTTGGTGGGATACGAACAGCGAGCATTTTGTTTTTTATTCCTTTTTATTTTTTATTACTTGGAAGTTACCTCGGGCCAAGAGGAATGGCGGCCTATGTATTTTTATGAAACAAATAAGAGGATCTAGTTGCTGACTGGTCTCCTCTGCCTCCAATCCAAGAGAAGACTGAGCCTTGCAGCACCCATTTTATTTCTATCTGTGCTCTCTGGCAGAGAGACAGAGAGAGAAATAGGTTAAAAGCAGCCAAAACCCTCCATTCTGTCCTCCTGAACAGGAAAACATCTCTAGTTGCTGACTAGTTGCTGTATTTTTCCTTCTCTGTATCTCTCCTCCTCTGAGAGCCAGTGTTGTACAGTTGTTAGAGTGTCAGTCTGGGTTTGAGAGACCTGGGTTTGAATCCACACTCTTCCATAGAAGTTTACTGGATGACCTGGGGGCAGTCACACATTCTTAGCCTAACCTCACAAGGCTGTTGTGAGGATAAAATGGAGAAAAGGAAAACATTGTAAAGCACTTTCAATCCTCACTGGGAAGAAAAGGAGGACAGAAATCTAGTCAATAAATAAATCAGCAGAAGAAAGTGTGGACTGTCACAGCAGGATCTAAGCATCCACACCTATGGCGTGTATTCTCCAAGGCTATTTGGTCTATCCATAGACTTCAATGGGACTGCTCCACAGCACAGAAGACTTATACATATTTATAATAAAAATAAACCAACTGAATATACAATGCAAGTGAGAAGTTGGTTAAAACTGATAATGTAAATACAGTGCATGAATGTAAACACGTTAAATAAAAAATTTAATACTATGTCTCATAATTCAGCACGATATGAACAATACATTCAATGCACTAGCAAATTAAGTGTTATATCCAGTTTGCTCACTATAGAAAAAGCAGATTTCAACTTACAGGCATGCTCTGGCATGAAAACAAAGAACACAATCCAAAATGAAAAGGTAACCAACTGAAGGAGCACATGGTTTTTCCACTGAGACATCTTGAAACAAAGCTAAAAGAAAAGAAAAGAAATCAGATGACTCGCAGCTATTGCTACCAGGTTTAGAGTTGTTTTTGTTAAAATTGCCATTTTTCGATTTAGAACTACCCTTCACTGTTTGACTCTCATGACAAGGAGAGAATAAGCACAACTACTGCTTTCAAACCATATGCATTGTTTTGATCACCCACATAACTTCAGCCCAGGACTATATTAGTATGCTTTAGTACTAACTTGGAGTCCTTACATTTCGAATCGCACTACAATACTGAGAGATCTGGAACTAAATTCTGGGTATAAGCTCATGTGCGCACACACTTCTTAGTGTGCATGCGCACAAAAGTTTATATCCCAAATTAAACTCTGTTGGTCTTAAAGGTGCTACTGGACTCACTTACTTCAGATCTCAGTCACTCTGTGACAGCAGGCCATTATACATATCTGCATGTAATCCTTGGGCATTATCTGCACAAGAGTCATCTACACACATTTAGCGTGTTGAGTCCGACAAAGGCGGCTTGCAGTCCTCAAAAAGCCTGAGTCAAGCAAGGTACACTGAAATCAACAGAAGTTTCTTCCGTGGTGGAAGCAATGCTCCCTCTAAGCTGTGGAGTCTTGTGAGCAAAAATTCTACTTTGTGAGCTACTGGCCTTAAAGTTGTGAGCGAGCGATTTGGCTACTGCATAAATTAGTTTGCTCTGGAGCCATCCTTCCTGAGCTAAGACAAAAATGTGTGAACTGGAGGCTAAAAAACTGTGAGCTAGCTCACATTAACTCAGCTTAGAGGGAACACTGGCCTCATCCCCCTAACAAGAGTTGTAACCAATGCTCCCAACTAAGCTGTGGAGTCTTGAAAGCAAAAAATTCTAGTTTGTGAGCCACTAGCTTTACAGTTCTGAGCGAGCAAACTAGCTATTGCATAAATTAGTTTGCTCTGGAGCCATCCTTCCTGGGATGAGACAAAGATGCCTGAGCCGAAGGCTAAAAAATTGTGAGCTAGCTCACACTAACTCAGAGGGAACACTGGTTGTAACCCACTAAACAGAAATAATGTTCTGCATACAAGAAGAGCAGAGATTGTCTGTCCAACCTTCTCTTCTATATACTCACAGGAAGCTACTCTGAAAGCTGGAAGGGCAAGCGCATCTCTCTACCGTGAGAAGTGGCTGCAACCGGGAACCCGACATCTCCTGAGCCTTCATCCCCCTAACAACAATTGTAATCAATGCTCCCAGCTAAACTGTGGAGTCTTGTAAGCAAAAAATCCTAGTTTGTGAGCCACTGGCATTACAGTTGTGAGCGAGCAATCTAACTATTGCATAAATTAGTTTGCTCTGGAGCCATCCCGTCCTGAGCGAAGGCGAAAATGTGTGAGCTGGCAGCTAAAAAACTGTGAGCTAGCTCACATTAACTCAGCTTAGAGGGAACACTGCCTCATCCCCCTAGCAACAGTTGTAATCAATGCTCCCAACTAAACTGTGGAGTCTTGTAAGCAAAAAAATCTAGTTTGTGAGCCACTGGCATTACAGTTGTGAGCGAGCAAACTAGCTATTGCATAAATTAGTTTGCTCTGGAGCCATCCCGTCCTGAGCGAAGGCAAAAATGTGTGAGCTGGAGGCTAAAAACTGTGAGCTGGCTCACACTAACTCAGCTTAGAGGGAACACTGCGTCCTGACAGTAGCAGGCTGGAGGCTAGCAGGACCCGGATGGACTCCCCTTTCCCCTCCTGTACTGGCGCAGCACCTGCCCGCAAACACCCACCGCGGTCCCCTGTCAGCCCCCTCCTGCTCTGCCAATCAATCAAAGCGACGAGACTGAACGACCAACATGCTTAGCACCTCCCACAGATGGAGGCATTTCTTCTGACGTCATCCGCGCGCCGCCCTGTCCGCGCACATCCAAGGCCCTCCTCGGGGAGCCGTCTAATCCGTGCCTGCCCGGAAAGACCTCCCGGTCAGCGCTTTCCCTTTGCTCACCCCAAATGGATATTAACGAAGCGTCAGACAAAGGAAGTAACAAGACCAAAAACTTTGAAACCTTCTCCAGTTTCTTGTCTTTCCTGAGGGCATTTGGGTAGACAGAATTTACTGTCGACAGGGTTGACGGCGCCGAGCGGTCGCTATGGTGATGAGTTAAACGGCTGCCAGAAAGACCCGCCCCCTAGGACTCACCCAGCGGCGCAGAATCGTTGAGTCCGGCGGAAGACCGTGCTAAGAAGCTCCCCCCCCCCCCCGACATTTGTGATTGGCAGCAGCGGCTTTCTCCGGGATTTTCATTCGGTGCAACGTTTAAGCATGCCTCATGGAAGCCCAGCTGTGGCTGAAATGGCATTTAATTTTTTTAATTCCCCCCCCCAAGCCTTTTTTGAAGGATAACTTCTAAACGAAGAATTAGGGATTTCCTGGTCCTTTTGGGTTTTGTCCTTTTCTCTTTTTAACAAATGTTTTTCAGATCACTACACTTGCACATAGGAGACTGGCAGGGGTCATTTCCTGCAGGAGCGCACAGGAGCGGAGCTCCGGCAGTAAAGAGCCCAGGGGCAGGCACATGCAACAAGCCATGCCCCCTGCTCCCAGAAGCTGTCAGTCAGGCCAGGAAGAGCAAGAAGTAGCCAGGTAAGTTGCAGACCCGCCCACCCACCTTCAGGTACAAGCTCTTCCTCCTCTGTGAGCAGGGCTTGTTGTATGTGCCCGCCCCCTGGGCTCTTTACTGCCGGAGCTCCGCTCCTGTGCGCTCCCGCAGGAAATGACTCCAGGATATAATCAAGCTGAAGGCAACGACAATGGTTCCAGATTGTTCCCCTGGGGTAAGGATACAAATTGGCCTATTTGTCATCTGAAATAGTTTTGTATTATTTAGCATTTTAACTGTTTTCGACTTGAATGTCACTATATCTGATGGAACTGTTGTTCGCCGCCCTGAGCCCTTTGCACAGGGGAGGGCAGTCTGCCAATTGAATGTATAAATAAATAAATAAATGACGGTTATAGCTACCGGTTTCAGAAAGGGGCCAGTTATAAGCTAGCAGAATAAACATGCCGTACCTGAGTACCTGGAGAAATTCCGAAGAGGCACAATGCGCTTTCGTATATTATTTCTGACCTAATCTTCGTAAATTAGAATAATAGATGGAGGCTGTGACTGAAAGACCCTTTTTTTTTTTTTGCAAGGGGAGACCATCCCAGCTCCTCCTATAGCTTCTGCAGGAAATGACCCCTGGTGATATGTAATTCCATTTCATCGTCAGATGAAGTGTCCCTTGCACACAAAAGCTCACATCTTGAATAAAACTTGAATAAAGGTGCCACTGGACTCTAAATGTGTTCTGTTGCTTCAGACCAAGAAGAGAAGAAGAAGAGAAGAGAAGAAGAGATTGGATTTATACCCCGCCCTTCACTTGGAGTCTCAGAGCGGCTTACAAACTCCTTTCCCTTCCCCTCCCCACAACAGACACCCTCTGAGGTGGGTGGGGCTGAGAGAACTCTGACACAAACTGCTCTTT